ATTATCAGGCATAATTGACCTAAATTTGATAGATTTTTCTTACTTAATTACGTTCGATGTGAGTTGTCTGTTATTTAGTTTCTCTCCTAGTGTGTCTAAATTTGAACTGCAATCTGTTGTCGTTTTTGCCCGTCTGTGCCACCATGTCTCTGTGTACAGTGTTCTTGCGTGTGGACAGTTTTACAAGTTGAGACATTCTGTCCATTAATAACACGAGTATGTGCGTTTCTTTAGAACTTTGAGGATTGAGTAACCTGTTAGCATTCAGATTCTTTGTTAGAATGAGATCACGATCAGATACACATGGACAGAAATATCCAGTAAGTATAATTGTAGAATGTGAAAATTCCGTATGTCAGACTACAGTTCATATGCACATACTTCCTCAGGTCGCATTGTTTCAGTTTCTGTTGGTTCTAATAATGAAAAAAAATTGGTTAGAAATAAAAGCTTGTATCAACAACCATCTACTCCTAAATTTAAGTAAGTCCTCCAGAATATTCTTCATAGAAGTTGAGCGGAAATCGGGTGGGCTTCATGCAAGGAAAACTCCTACAAATCGATTATTAAGTTGTTTGTTTGAGTGATTTTGGAGAATGTGCTTTTATCCATGCACACAAATATCCGTATCAATATCCCAAGCTGCAAGACGAGAGACGCGTTTATTCATAATTCCATGACAGTCACCCATCGTACGAAAAAGGGAAGAGAGTCAGGATGAGATTAACCAGGAGATGGAATGTTCTGCTTGGTGTGGTGTGGAAAAGAATTTCCCAAATACTGGACTAGAGAAATCAGTTAATCAGTTAATCTGAAATGATATTGATTGATTGGCTGCATTGAACAAAGGATCCATTTTATTAAGCCAGTTTTTATTCATTCTGTTTGCTCACAACGACAAGTGACTACAGTGACCCGAGGAGAAAATGTCCCACTTTCAAATAAACCTGTTAGACATTATAACACATGTACCACCACCGTCATCTGCATTAGTTGTATATGTCACATGCTACGGCCATTAGCAATAAAGTAACCAGGGCATGTGAAAATTGCCTGGATACAAAAGTTTACCAAAAGGCCAGTTCATCAAAAAGTGTCAAGTTTCGTGTGTTTTTCTGATTAATCACGGCTCTGCCCAAACTTGAAAAGAGCTTTCTCTCCGGTGGACACAAAGGACAACTCGAGAACTGTTTATTTTATGATCCTTTATTCCTCTTAAGGGTGGTTTGGTGGATCAGACAAAGAACAGAGCAGGTTGATAACCTTTCAAACAAAGCAAAACCCATGAATTTAGTCGAGTACATTTCGATAATCACTTTCTTAAAGTAATAATAAATAAATGCGACTGAATTCCCAAACCAAACCCAAATTATTCAGATAAACCTAGGATAAGTCCCCATTACTTAATTTAAATGACACATTTCACTAAGTAAAGCAAAGCATGAACAAACAATAAATCATACTGTCCTACCAGTTGCGTCTCTGGGAGATTAGGAGCCGTGGCCACAGCGTCCTTTTCCTCAGGGCCGAGTGAGAGGGCTATCCGAGCTCTCCACAAACATTTTATGCCATGCGCTTCCTGTTCGTACGCAGGCACTTCCTGTGAGTGGAATCTCCATTAGCCGCATCGTCGCCCCCTGCAGTCTGGGTGCGCTCCGACTGTCCGGGGTGGATATGGGCCTTGAGTTCTCTGTGCGGCTTGTGACCGGAGATTGACGCAACACCTCCCACTTGACCTCCTGGTTCCTCAACCCAAGGAGGTCACACCAGTACCTATGTAGTGTCAAATTTAATTACTCCACTTTTGATCCTGTTGCTACTGCTGCTCTGTTCTTTGTCTGATCCACCAAACCACCCTTAAGAGAATAAAGGATCATAAAATAAACAGTTCTCGAGTTGTCCTTTGTGTCCACCGGAGAGAAAGCTCTTTTCAAGTTTGGGCAGAGCCGTGATTAATCAGAAAAAACACACGAAACTTGACAAAAAGCCATCGTCTCCATAGTCCATAGCCATAGTCTCATCATCCGCATCAAATCTGAACAGCAACACAAAATCCAGGAAACATATATGATGAATGAATTTTAACTGTAGGCCTCTTATTTCAAGAACATTACTTGAATATTAATCAATTCAAAGATGTATTTTTCTTTTTTTGTTATATGATATAGCTACAATTCACTCAGAGCAACGGGCACAGCGTGCAGTACCCTGGAGGCGTGTAGGTCGGATGGTGGAAGCCAAACAAATGGCTTCAGTCATTGAAGTGTTCAGTAGGATTGATCCCTTAGGTCACCTCAGTCGAGCCATATGAGTAATTGTTTTCATGAGCCATGTGGGTCGCTAGTTATGTAAGTTGTGTGCTTAACCAGTCAAAGTCTTGCTGTGGGTCTGAGGGAAAAAAATAAATAGTTAATCAAAAAACGCACGACTCAAACTTGAAAGTGCATTCGCATTTGTTCGTTCCTACTGAACCTGCCGGCATCAAAAGAAGCGGGCAGTGGTAAACTAGAACAACCCGCCTTCTGCTTTCTTTAATTGGCTTCCAGGGAGTGGAATGACTCCGCCCCCCACTTTCATCCTCATAATATAAAAACTGCCAAAAAAACGTGACCCGACCCAAGAAAGCAGGCAGGCGCCGCGTTCTGCCCGTAAGAACGATGAAGCTGTTGCTGTTGGGAGTCACCTGAGTTGTTATTCCCTCCGTAGTCACGTGAGTCATAAGTCAGACACATAATGTCAACCTCCTTTTTGTCCCTAAACTTTTCTTTTGTCTAAACCCAACTTCGGCTGGAGGGATCCGGACAGCATTGCGCAGCTTAAGGCCACCGACCAAACCGCCGTATTTGACCATCTGGATGTGAGAATGTGTTTATTAACAATGCCTTTCTGGGAATTCATTTGAAATGTGGGTTGCTTTATGATGTACATACTGTAGCTTAAGAGGCGGAGAGAAAAGAGGGATTGATGAAATCCTCTGTCAGGTACTTTGGTCCAGCTTGACATATTTTGGAAAATACTAGACGGACTGTCTTGCAAATCTTCAAATGGTAAATCCAGCTGGCATTGGTGATGGTCTGACCAGCGCCACCATGAGGTTGACACTTTTGGTTTTGAGTCAACCATCGTGTGACTGATTACCATAAACTATGTTAAAGACATTCATGTTCGCACCAGATCGAATTATAATACCTTTGGTTGTCCAGACGTTTCATCTGGCACCATCATCATCCAGGTTCACTTATCACACACGAGGCAAACTGACCTCCATCTCTAATACTACGTAGCTATGTTTGCATGCAGAACCAGGATGGTGGATATAGTGAATGTTACCAGCTACACATTGTCATACTGTTAACACGAGCAGGTTAGCTTGTTGGCATTAGCATTAAGCTAAAAGCACCACTACAGCCGGCTTTCTAGATAACAGGGCCCCGTTCCTGTACGTGCTAACTGAGTTAGCCGGATCATCTTCAGGATGAGAGGACGTAGTTCAGGCTTTTCGGTTCCCCAAAGCAGCTTTGTCTAAATCACCACAGCAACACAATGAAAAACTTGAAGCTGCTCCGGTTCATCTGAGCTGCTGGATCAGTTCATCAGTCCTCATTGATGAAGGAGCGACATGAGTTAGATGAACGTTTTATAGGGAGAGACTTCTCCCAGATCAGAGACCCGTTTAGCCGCCATGACGTCCTGGACGAGCGCTACAGATGCTGAGGACCAGAATCATTTATTCACAAGAAGATTTCCCCGTTACGTGATGAACACCACACGCTGCAGCCGAGCGTCCACTGTCCCGCAGACTGTCTCACTTACTGTCCCACAGACTGTCTCACTTACTGTCCCGCAGACTGGCTCTCATACTGTGCCTCAGACTGTCTCACTTACTGTCCCACAGGCTGTCTCACTTACTGTCCCACAGGCTGTCTCTCATACTGTGCCTCAGACTGTCTCACACACTGTCTCTCACACTCTCTCATGTCTCACACAGTGTCTCTCACACTGTCTCTCACACAGTCTCTCTCACACTGTCTCTCATACTGTCTCACACAGTCTCACACACTCTCTCATGTCTCACACACTGTCTCTCACACTGTCTCACACAGTGTCTCTCACACTGTCTCACACAGTGTCTCACACTGTCTCTCACACTGTCCATGTCTGTACGGTGCTGCGATGCAGAGAACATCTGGAAAGCAGCTGCATGTCGTGCTCTTGGTAAAGTTCTGTTGGTTTATTTGTCTCTTAATAAACTTCTGGATGTTCCACATTTCACTGCTTCAATTGATCAAATGTCTGCTGATGAACGATGGATTTATAATGATTCTCACACACATATAATAAACTAGTTCTATGTGGTCGTCTACATACATATGATACATAAGCTGATACATAGATCCTGTTCATTCGTATCAATCTGATGCTTTGGGCTTGTTTTCATCTACATACTCTGAAGGAGTTGAGATCTTTATTCTCATTGGATGATGATCATCATTTAAATAGATATAACGTGATTGATGAGCCGTTACATTTTACCAACACGCATAACGTTAACTTGTGTGTGATACTTTGTGTACAGAATGAACAACGTGAAATATGTATAATACGTTAAATTCATCTGACAGAAATGATTCAAATGAACATGTTATCTCCTCATATGCCTTCATGATCATCTCCTGCTCTTCCTTTAACTTTATTTGCCGTTATACTGTTAACAAATCCTGGTTTCTGTGATCGACTCTTCCGCCTTCTGACGTGAGACGGTTATCCTGATGACTGAAGTCTGGTTCAAACTAACGAGACGTTTGAGCGCCGATCCGCCTTCAAGGAACCGAGATAGCCTGATGTCAATCATCTGGTTATCTGAGCTGGATAATCGGACATTTGATTGGTTTAGTTGAACCAAACGAGGTACGAGGAACAGGGTCCTGGCTCAAAGACTATTGTGTTAACTTGATTCAGGTGTTATTAGTGTTTAAAATGAAGTCATGACTGACGCACGATGGAATAATAATCATGATTTACTGCTTTACAAGCTTTTTAAATAAATACATGTTAAGAGACTTGTCAATTGAGTATCTCACAACAATTTAACTTTCAACAGCACTCGACAGTTATAGAAGCTGAGACTCAAGGCATTAGCATCAGTAGTTTCTTTGTTTATAGTTTACAGCGGTAATTAACATTCAGATTGCTGCACGAGAAAACAAAAAAATCCTGTTGTATGTAGAACCAGGCATCCAGCACAACATCGCCTGTAGGATTATTGTCCCACTCGGATGTAGTGTTGGTTCTCTGTGGGTTGAGTTGATAACTGCAGTTCAGCAGTAGACGGACCAGTAGATAATGTTGAAAAAGATGTAGGAACCAGGGAAAATCATCCGGGAGTATTTGTCGATCGCGTGCGTGTTCTGGATTATGTTGAGGGTGCGGAGGCTCTTCTTCTTCTTGGTGGTGGTCGACTCGCTGCTCATCGACATGTGGACCACCATGCGTTCGGGTTTCTCCAGAACCTCGTGCAGCTCCTCCTGCTCCTCCTCTGGCACCATTGGTTCCTGAGTGTAGCCGGCCAGGCTGTTGGTGTCGGCCTCGCTGTAGGTGCCGTCCAACATGGTCATGGTTCGCGTCTGGGAGATGCCGCAGGTGCAGGGCAGCGACTGGCAGGGAGCGAGGGAATCATTGTGTTAGAATAAGTCAAAGCAAAGCCACCAGGGTCTTATTTATTCTTACATAGCATTGTTTGTTGATGTAGTATGAAGATAGCTTTTTGTATTTGCTTTAATCATTTGGTCACTAGTATGGCACAAGTATGTGTAGTTATGGTTAATTGTTTGGGTAATAATGAATTGTGTTATTTAAGGGCATAGCCAGGTGTAGGACCAGCATGCACCTGGGTGACATAGTTTTCTACCAGCGAGCCAGAGCGCTGCATAAGAAGGCAGCCAAGCCAATTGTATGTGTTTGTTGACGTGTTTGTTGACGAACTGAAAGGTGAAGAAAAGGAGTCGATTGCCTGGACAACACGCTCTCTGGCTGCGTGACTAAAACAAGCAGTAGGTTTAAGTTTAAAGACGTGTAGGACAAATGGCCACGACCGTGTATTTGGTAGATGGTTTCTTTTCGTGGTCCATGCAGAAAAACGTCAGGCTATTTGTGGGTGATTATTCATTTGTTAAGGCCGGCGCATGTTTCTGTTTCTGCGTCTGTGTCGACGCCCTCGTCTCACTTCCTGGTTGTAAAGTCCTGCGTGTGTTGCAGAGCGATTCACCTCCAGAACAACAGGCGGAGTGACGTGTTTTTGTTGAAGACGACCTAGAGAGTCACGTCTATTTATTTATTTGTTTATTTATGTATCATAGACTTTATTGCCCCGTGCATCCACACTGCTGCTTTTCATCGCGGACACATTTGTCCCGTATTTTCCTCCACAACTTGTGCACCTCTCGACTGGCAAACCGGCGTTTGCGGCGATCTCCCTCCGTGAATACAACCCGCTTCTACAACGACAATGACGGCTTGTATAAGTGGTCATATTTACGCATTTCTTCAGACAAAAGTTCTTCAATCTGCTCCGTTCTCTCGGAAACATTCTTCGTTTTAATAATGGTGCTATCGGGCTTTAAGCGGAAATGTGAGACTCCGTAAAGGACGTAGTTAGCGGACCAATCGCAGCCTGGTGCGCTGCGGGAGCCTTGCGTCGAAAGCGACGCAAGGCTAGAAAAATGGGTCGACACATATAGCGTTATATTTGTGCCACAATCCTGAGCGCGTAATTGTAAGTTTTGAGCACAGAGAACTATATTTTAGGAAAGAAAAACATCCCGTGCGCGCAGTTTACTCAGGTGCCCTCTCCACAAACTGGTTTTCTGCGCGCAGGCAGCCGTTGCTGCGCTCGCTCCACCTCTTCACGCTGCGCTCGCTCGACGGTTCACTCACGCGCTCGCTCGACTTGCAGCAGCGTTACATTTGTGCCACAAAACCAACCAATCAGAGAATTAAAGAAGGTCAATTGTGATTGGCTGTTGGTCTCCAATCACAACGCTTCCTAAAGAAGACAAAAACGAGTGATATTAGAAGTCCGGCTAGCCACCATCAGACATGACCGAAGCAAATGATGAGAACAGCACGTGTTTTAATCCAGGCCGTTAGCATTTAGCACAAATGCTGCAAACTTCAACAACTCGCTGAGCTTCCGCGATGCTGTAGGTAGTTCTACTAGCGTTGTGATTGGAGACCAACAGCCAATCACAATTGACCTTCTTTAATTCTCTGATTGGTTGGTTTTGTGGCACAAATGTAACGCTGCTGGAAGTCGAGCGAGCGCAGCGTGAAGAGGTGGAGAGAGCGCAGCAACGGCTGCCTGCGCCCAGAAAACCAGTTTGTGGAGAGGGCACCTGAGTAAACTGCGCGCACGGAATGTGTTTTTCTTTGGTAAAATCTAGTTCTCTGTGCTCAAAACTTAAAATTACGCGCTCAGGATTGTGGCACAAATATAACGCCATAGACACACGCAAGGAGGTGGGAAAAGACACGCAAGGGACACGCAAGGGGGGCTTGCGTCTGCGTCGCTCTGAAAACACAAGCATAAACTAGGCTTTAGTCGCTCCAACACTTCAGAAGGGGTTCAGAAGGAGAAGTCTCAACGAGTGGGCAGTAATATGAGATTATGAATATGGACGCTGCTCAGAGGATAATCTGATTGGTCTGAATTTCCTCCTGACTGACAGCTCTCCCACATCTTGGGGCAGAGTGAGGATTCAGCTAAAGGCATGAACCCCAGCAATGTGGGTATTTCTTTCACTTCCACCAGAGGACAATCCCACCTGGCTCACCTGTGAGCTCCGTCAGAACAAACAGGGGGAAATGGTGTCGGATGAATCCATATTAAATGTGGTATTGAATGTTGATGTGAGATTGAGACTAAATGAACGCCATTGTGTGTTGCTAGGAGACATTCCTTTTTGGTTTGGCTCTGTTTATGTAATTTGTTGGTAATAAGATAAATATAGAACACCTTAACCTTTCAGATGGTTCACAATGGTTTACTTTAGTTTTAATACCTCAGTCAGGTGTGTTCACTCATCACAAAACGCACTGTATAAACTCATGTATAAAAGTACTGCAGTTTCTGGCACACCGAGAATCAAAAAGCATGAGTTATTAGAGTTACTTGATCAAGTAATATGAATAATTAACAGGACGAGGCGTTTGAGGACCGTTAAATGTGCAGTAAAGGAGTCTTCTGGTTGCCTGAGGTGAGTCCAGACATCAATCACTGTGGAAACAGACGTCCCGCTGCGTAGAACTCAGCAGCCTGCACCCGGAAAATCAAGTTGCCCAGATAATTCACGCCCGTTCAGTTAGAGGAAGATTTGAAATGATAACCTATTAAAATCCAGCAGCATTTTATTAAACAAAGATGGCATATGCGAAGTATGTTTGCTATTTTTAAATCTTGCTGTGAGCCAAAAACACAAAGAAGCTTTTCAAGTACAACAAACCCCTCTAAAATGGTATCATGATAACAGGATGTGATATAAAATGTGGATGAAAATAATACTGAAATATAACTAAATCCATACAAAAAAACACAGACACAGAAAGTGGTGCCTTATGTGTCTCTTATTGTTCAGGTTGTCTTGATGTTTTAGGGGTTTTGGTTTCACTATCTTGCTTCATTGTGTTTGTGTTGACAATGTTTTCATATGTGAGTGACTTTATTGAGAGGAAGCCAGATTCAGTTATTGTAGCTCACCAGGCTAAATAGACCGAGCAGAAGCGTTGACTATGGACAACTTAACCAACTAGTGTAGAATGCAAACACTCGGTTTACTTAAAGGACGTTTATCTTACGTGCAGAGACCCCCGGCTTCCCCTCCGTCCTCTCCTCATTTGTGTAGCTCAGAAAGGTGACTGCGGATGCTTCAAGTTGAATAAGAAAGTGGATTTTTCCCTGTTTCTCTCGTTGCTCTGGCGGCTCTTGTTTTTTGGAGCGTGACCATCAGCTGGACGGATGCTCATGTGGTGGAGTCCGTTCTCTGAGCAGCTAAACAGTAGATTATTCAGCATCAAGCAGGAGAAACAAACCTGAGAACGTGCACGCTCTCGCATCTTGCGCTCCCGGCGGTCCTGGACGGTGGACAGGTAGTTAACAGCGGCGTACTCCAACACGGACAAGAAGACGAAGACAAAGCTGACCCAAAGGTAGATGTCCACCGCCTTGATGTAGGACACCCGGGGCATGGAGGCGTTCACTCCGGTGATGATGGTGGACATGGTCAGCACTGTGGTGATGCCTGGAAACCAGATACACACAGAAGTGCACCTTAAATACGTGTCTGGATGTGAGCTTTCTCTACTTTACTCTCACAGTTTAATGATCATGTGTTGGGCGGCTGGAGCAACAACAGAACCACTTTTCACAGTGATGCAATGTGCTCCAACATTCTGCAATGGACACTATGTGATGGAGACAAGTGAGAAGGAGCAGGAGGAGCTTTATGTACATACGGTTGAAACCACCGTGTAGAAACACTTATTTACGAGTAACTGTCACGTCATTTTCAGAAAACAACAACACGTCTCTTTCTGACTTCCACACGTGTGTGTGGCTCTCAGCTCTTAACCTATTGGTTCCTTTTGAAAACGGTAAAATGAAAAACTTCACAGAGCACACAGAGCACTATTTTCAGACTAATTCACGCTTTTTGCTGCAGTGGTTTGTGGTAGCAGGGCGGCGTACGTAGGCTTGTGATCTGGTTGGATACAATTATGTATTGCTAATATAAATACATAATTATATAATAACTATAATACAAACTGCGGTACAGAAATACAAACAGGGTAAAAATATCTCGTTCTATCAGCTGAATTTAAAAAGAACAGAGACACGAACCATGAGAGGGGTCTCAGCGAGGGGTAAAAAGACCCAGACGTCTGCACGAAATACACAGCAACAGTAACTCAGAAAATAACTCAAAGGGAAGTGGGAGTGGGAGGATTGCGTGTGCATGTTTCGGACTGGTGGAGCCAGCTTTCATCTTTCCCCAGACAGACTTTCCTCAGACTCGCACAACCAAACTCCTTCAAATGGTCCAAGAACACATTTCTCTTCTTTAACGCAGATTTAATCTCATTTGCATTTTAAGGAAATCATCCCGGGATTGTCTTTCACTAGATGTCTGTCCCTTAAGTTGTCCCACACGTCGGATGTGGAGACAAATCAAAGCTGTTCCGTCTCAGAATTGACTTATTCGCTCTACAGCATCGTAGCGCCCTGCACTGCTCTGAAAAGCAATCCAAATTGTATTAGCAAAGCTCCCTTGATCAAATAGTTTTTTAGGAGTCGGACTGCGTTTTATCAACTCGTTTTTTGGCCTCGCTTGTTTTAGTTGTCTGATGAACCTTTTTCCCAGCTCGGTGTTTGCTGAACCGCTGTTTACCACAGTCTAAACAACCCTTGGGGGTTTTGGCAAACCATAAATTCTCTATCCAAAAGATACATTTGATCTTTTACACATTTCTCTCTTGGGCACGTTTGAGAGATCTTGAGGTCCCAACAACTTCCCTACTACCTTCTTACAACTGGCTGCAGGTACTAAAACTAGACTAGCGCACAGGTTGGTAATCTCTCCATAAAAAGGAATTCCCTTCTTGATGTGTGCATCTCTTCTACCGAGCCTTCAGAAATCCAGACGACCTGAAATCGTCTTTTCTTTAAACCAAGCTAGTCTGCTAAATGTGCTGTTTTAAGTTCATGTGATTGCTAGTTTGCTTTAGCTCTTGTTGTTTTCTTGTGACTGGGCTGCCAGTTGTCCCTGTAGATTCTGCTATCTTGGGTTAAATTGACTGCTCCTATGTTCTATGATCTAACGCTCTGAAGCAAAGCAGATTGAATCATTGAAACTCTCAGACTTTCAATGTTCACTGACTAAGGTGACAAAGTGGTTGTTGTTTTGCATTTTGAGGAATTTCGGGGAAATGAACCTTTTGTTTCCCCACGACGGGGAGTGGTCAACGCAGCCGACTTCTACTGACGAGGGCGTATTTAACTAGAGGTTGGGTGTTTATGAGCAGGACAAAGACGAGGACGTCATCCGTGGGCGGCTGAGTGCGGCGCCTTTGACTCCTAATTACTAATAAGGTGTTTGCTTCTGTACCTGTTCGAATCTCTTCCCGCAGACACTACAGCCCTCAGTTAGATCTGCTCTCTATCGTAACCTCTCCTCTCTCACCCGTTCCACCTGCTCCACACACGTCCAACAACACCTCGTCTCCTAAACCTTTGTAGCACTTATGGTGGTTCTTATCTACAGCAAGTTGTAAATCGACTTATTTGATGAAATTGTTCTTTTGAGTTTGTATCGTTATGGTTGAAATGATAAGTCGCTTTGGATAAAAGCGTCAGCTAAATGACATGTAATGTTTTGTGATGATGTAATATAATGATGTCTGGAAAACTATCGGTCATTCATTCCGTTTCCGAGCTCTAGATTTTAGTTCAGGTCTGTGAAAAGCTGCAGAATGACAAACTAACGGGTGCATGAGTTCTTTTTTCTCAGTAGTCTGGGTTTAATTGGAAGTACAGAACAATATGTGCTGCTTTGGAATTAGTAAACAACGAGAACACTTTCATTCGTTATGCCAGAGATGCCTGTCAGATCGGTTCTCAAATCTCAAGTAATGTGCACAGTTCAGTGGTTTCTCTTTCCTAATTTCCCCAAAAGTGTCCCACAAAGCTCCGTTTTAGGTCCAGCTGACCGAAGTGCTTCAAAACATGTGTCCAAATCTTGATTCCAATGACACTTAAGTAAAGGCTATGAATTACCCCAAAAATGCCATGAATGATATAACAGCCCTACATTATTCATTTTACACGAACATGAATAAATATAAGTGGTTCTAACTTATGTCCTCATTTTTGTACTCAATTAGAGACAAAATAAGTTGGTAATGAGTGAAAGTTTGAGAAAAGTTTAAAGCTGTATTTCATTTCTTCTTATTTGTCTATTTGTTGTTGTTATTTGTATGCATTTCTAGTCTTTAGATGAGTCTCATATTGCTGCTGTGTCCTAACTAGGTCGCTCTTGACATTTCTCACCCAGGGACACTCTGGCCGGCACTGCGCGGCGGTCGATCCAGAACGACACCCACGAAAGCATGACCATGAGCGTGGCAGGAAAGTATGTCTGCAGCAGGAAGAAGAAGATGTGGCGTCGGAGCGTGAAGTTGATGTAGAGACGATTGTACCAGCCTGAAATCACAGCAGGTGAGACGCTCAGACAACATGTAGAGACAGGTCAATGCCAAACGTTTCACTATTCAGTCACAGCCTGGGTGTGTGTGTGTGTGTGTGTGTGTGTGTGTGACCTGTGCTGCTGTAGAAGGCCAAGCGAGACGTGGTGTGGAACTTCTGGATGAGGAACTGTGACAAGGAGATACGATCATCAGTGCTAAGAGACTCATCTCCATTTTTCCAGTAGAGCATCAGGTCTTCATCAGTGTAGGCATCTGCAAAACACATCGTCCAATCAAATGGAGTTGATATATCTAAAGATAGAATAACTATTAGTAAACTAACTACTAATTAGGCAGGGGGGTCGTACGCACACCGGCCATTTCAGTAATCTGGTTGGCATCGCCCTCAATTGAAGTGAGACATTCACACACGACAGAGACAGGGACAGAGATCCAATAGTCAGAGGCTTAACTGAGCAATATAATATATAGTATAAAACCCCCAACAGCCCAAATGTGGCTGAAAACTGTCACATTTTACATCATCTTATAATTACTTTTGGGAAACAATTCCAATTTTTAATTGCGATTAATCGCATGAATCTTTGTGATTATTATGCAAAATTCAACAACAAATTGAAAAGTAATGTATTGTGCACTTTTGTTTGTGCAAACACTTTGAACAAATATTATAGTATTCCTTTTACAGAGTATCAGTTTAAACACATATATATACTTAAACTATTTTAGAAATACAAAGAATGTAATCAAATCAGATAGCTTTGGTATAAAAGCCGGAATTTACTGTGCAGGAACGTTTTAGTGTGTGAGGTCATACTGGATTTCCTCTGGAGAATCTCAGTCAGAAAAAGAAGACAATTACACTTTAGTGATGCAGGTTATTGGTTCTGTCAATTCCGCTGTCTGGAAGACATTTAAAATCAAAGTGTTCCCATAAGAGTTTGCTGCCTTTCTCCTTTTTCCTGTCGCTGCCAGTCAAAAATAAACACACTAAAAGAAGAACCCTCCTCAAGACCCTGATTCCAGCTTCTCAAAAGTTCTGACAGACGTGGACACTGAACAAACAGATCTTCTGAACAGATTTTCAGTCTTGAAACAAATCACACACCCGTCCCCCAAGCTGTAGGATCAAGCTGTAGGATCAAGCTGCAGGGTCAAGCTGCAGGGTCAAGCTGTGCTCTGAACGGCTGGTGTTGCATTGCCCCGTGCCACGTCCATTTATGTTGTCGCCACTTTCATCAGATGGCACAGCTTGGTGCAGCCCAACCGTCCCGCTCTCCTCAGCAGCACTTAAGCAGTTTCCAGCCAGCTTGGACCACGGTTAAAAAGCAGTCTGAGTTCTCTGAAGTCAAAAGGAGTCATTTTTGGACTGGATGCCAGACCAGGAAAAGTCTATGATGGCTCTCTGATTGTCCTCTATCAGGTCTTACAATGGCGTGATGTTATTGGTAACTTCAATTCTCCCCCTGTCAGGGATGTGGGGAGGCGGCAGGACTCAGACGCAGACTTCTTGGAAAACAAAAGACTTTAATAGTCAAAAGGCCAAAAACACATAGGAACCACCTCCTTTCCATCTACTTTGTTAGGCATCTGGGAAAGATGGCGGTCTCCTGTTCTGAAACAGTACAACAATTTACTGTATAAATCAGATTACAGATTGGTTCATCAAATTCGGCAGAGAGACCCAGAAATTGATCTCATGCACTCCTTTGTGCCGGATACTCCTTCCGATTGGACAGACACATGGACCTCTGATGTGTGTTATAGCTTATCCTCACACCGAGAAGCTTTGTCAGACCTTCTCAGCTGAACTGTAGTTACCGAGTTTGATGATTTGTGTATTCTTCACTATTTTCCTCTATATTAATCTGTGACGAACAACCGTAAAATACTTTTGATTTCGCACAAGGACACCATCCACTAAGTTCCACCAAAAGACCACTGTAGAAAGAGTTTGTGGCATCAATATCTTTCAGCAGGAGGAAACAAGACCTGACCAGAGGGCCCTTCACCCTTGGAGGATTTTAACCCTCCTCTTGGAGCAGTTGACCAATAGAATGATCTGAGTATTGCGCCTCCCCGATATCCCTACTGTTGGCCTCCAGCTCCTGGACTGCTGCATTGATCGCGGCAGTGGTGATCTCTTCCACCAGTAATGCCAATGCTTAAAAAAATGACTTAATCAGACAAAAATTTACTAGCAGAGAAGAAAACTGTCAGATAAATTATCATTTACTTTCTTTGTCTTCCTAACTATTTTAACTCGCTGTGTTTTTTAAGGTGGAAACGCTTCCTCTCATTCGAAAGACTGAAGCCAGGCAGTTTCTTTATTACGTCTACTGATTTGACGAATTTAGGGTGTTACTGAAGTAATCACTCACTCATTTCTCCCTCTAACAGCGTAGGAAGCTGCTTCCTCTGCTGGTTGGGGTTGTGCTTCAGATTCTGCAGCCTGAGAGCTGAGAAGCCTGCTGATTGGCTCTGCCCTTCCTCATCCTTTCCCTTATTCTCTGACTGCGCTGGTATGTGATTATTTCTCTTTCGGAAACTAGTCTTTATTCATTTTCTCTTTAAAATACAACTTGATTTTATGAAAACCCGGATAGGGTTATTCAGCGATGTTGAATCACATTGCAATTATAATCTCAAAATGCTAGTGGTATTTTCATTTCTCAACTGTTTGCAGCCCGAACTGTGTATGACTATGCGTCTGCTTTGCTTTTTTTGACTGATCATTGTTTGCTTCATTATGTATTATTATCATCTTAAAATCTAGTGCATACCACCTTTCTTAATATCGGTTTAAAACTTATAATAACATTCATCTTCCATGACTGAACCTTGCAACTGAAATTTACCTGAACTGTCACTTTTCTACAGGTTCATTTTGTTGTGGCAGACTTTGGCCTGCGATGCGCAGCAGTCCGGAACCGGCAGCTGTTCATCGAGCTCACCAATGTTTTGCCGTTGATTTTGCAGCCATACTTAATTTTGGGTTAGTTCAAATTTTGCAACAAATTACTACAGCCCTCAGGAGGCCTTGTGGCTCCTGTTGATCTGGGTTACAAAAATAGCTTCCTGCCTGAAACACATGAACACGCCTCATGGCGTTTATAATAATAATAGCAGCCTTTCATTCTGCTGTTGCCTGATGGAGGAGAGATGAACCAGAAAATTTACTCACAGCTCTCCAATTCCAGTGAGCAGGTCTGCGAATCCAGAGGAAAGCGGCTGAAGTCCATGTTACAGGCTGCCGTCACTGTTACTCTGTTCCACCACGGACACAAACACAGAAGGTGAGATCAGTGATGTAGTTGCATGGGGAGGTATGACCTCTTTATAAAACATGGATACAGTGACTAAACTTGGTTCAAGAAATCACATGGAGTCACATGCCATGAAGACATCTGCCATTGTGAGCACTACCAGTTACCCCCATTGATTTTCGTAGTTCAGACAGGCAGTCAAGCTCACAGGTCTGCAAAACGTCCATGACAGTTTGATTTAACTTTCAACTGGTGTGCTTACGTAATGATAAGTTGAATGATGAGTTTATGGTCTCAGTCTCTCAGTGTTCTTCAATACAGCATGGTGTTTATTAAGTAAATAGTGGTGCAGTTTGAGTTTAAAACAACATTAACAAGGGTGTGTTTGAGGGAGGCTTATTGTGCTTGGTCGATAGCACGCTGTTGTTCAGCGTTCAGTTGTTCAGAAAGTGTCTGTGGTTCTTTTTTCATCATAAATAAGCCTTTTTCTCTGAGAATGAGAAAGATAGATTGTATTAATTATCAAATGTCAGTCAGCCTTATTATTTTCTGCTTATTCTCTTTACAGAGGGAATGAATCAGTCCCAGCCAACATCAGGTGAGAGACCAGCGTGATCTCCAAAACCTGTGTGTAAAAATGTATATGAAAATCTTGAACATACAAATTCGTAACAATACATAGGAACTGGCGGTGGTTAACCACGCCCCTTGAGTGAACAACATTCTTGAGTGAATGTCTCTCCGCCATGTTGGATTTTTTGAGGGGGTTAGGGTTAGTATTCTATTCTTACAAGTTAACATTAATTTCTCGTTATTTTACATGGTTAGACTTCACAAAGTGTGTTTACGGGGTGCAGGTCCCCGTTCACTTTGAATAGGGTGACGTCATCAGTTGCAGTCCGTATTTATTTCTTATGTATCACTACGAATTTGTATGTTCAAGAGACAAACAACCATTCACACTCATTCACACACCTACGGGCAATTTAAAGTCCCCAATCAACCTGATCCCCAGAGCATGTCTTTGGACTGTGGGAGGGAGCCAGAGAACCCGGAGAGAACCCACGCAGACACAGGGAGAACATGCAGACTCCACACAGAAAGGCCACTGGGCGGAGTGGAACCCAGGACCTTCTTGCTCTGAGGCGACAGTGCTGACCACCACATCACTGTGCTGCCATTTTTGACCAAAATGTGCAGCTTAGTGTTACCTAAAGTGTGTCATGGCTAAATATTTTAACGTTACTGGTTTATGGTTTTTATGGCTTATAGTAAATACAATGACATATATAATCCCATTAAATGTATGTATATTGTCGGTCTTAGCTGCATCAAGGGGCGGTAACCCTCGAACCCCGTGGTGGACACCAGTGGTCCGTCTGAAGAAGGAGACCTTCCGGGTTATGATATTCGGTGGGACTCTGGAGGCAGTTGTATTGCCTGGTGGGGGTCACTGAGGTGGTCAAACAACTCCGCAGTGGCAAAGCCCCGGGGATTGATGAGATCCGTCCAGAGATGCTAAAAGCAATGGGTGTTGGGGGGCTGTCTTGGATGACACGCCTCTTCAACATTGCGTGGAAGTCTGGGACAGTGCCAAAAGAGTGGCAGACCGGGGTGGTGGTACCCCTCTTCAAAAAGGGGGACCAGAGAGTGTGTGCCAATTACAGGGGTATCACACCACTCAGCCTCCCTGGTAAAGTCTACTCCAAGGTGCTGGAAAGGAGGGTTTAGCCGATAGTCGAACCTCTTGGGATTGAAGAGGAACAATGCGGTTTTCGTCTCTTTACTCTTTCCAGGATCATGGAGGGGACTTGTGAGTATGCTCATCCAGTCTAAATGTGTTTTGTGGACTTGGAGAAGGTGTATGATTGGGTCCCGTGAGAGATAATGTGGGAGGTGCCGCTGGAGTATGTGGAGAGGGGGTCAGCTAATTGATTAATTGAGATACATGTGATTATTGCCTAGCTGTTGTTTCACAATATAGTGAATTGTGTGTGTGTGTAGGTACAGCGCATTCCAAGGTACTGATACGGCTGAGGGGATGGATAGACGGACAGAACATTACCCTGCTTGATTTTCTTGGCTGTGAACAGAACTTTTTAGCATGAATTCCTTTTTTACCCCATTATAGCAACCCTCAGACTGGAGAGAGAGAGAGAGACATTCATCAAAGTATAATGCTCTGATTATTAACCAAGATGGGCTTGATAGTCGAACCGAATATACAGCAACTTTATTACTCACCGACACAATGAAGATTATTTTCACATTCATATTAACAGTAATATTAATATGCTGACATTCATTCAGAGGAACTCAAATAACACATTCAACGCCCTCCATATAGCCCGAATAGAATGATCCTTTTTTTCATTAATATATTTCCCCCCACTGAAGGCTCCACCCTGAGCTGGGCACGGCTTACTCTAGTTGGAACTGAGACCTGTGAATGTGCTTCCCCTGTAAAGACACATTATCAGGTCTGCTGTGGAATAGAGGTCAATCCAAATTACTTCTCCTGCAAAACAATAGATCCAGTGAGCAGATCGACATGCGGTTTAACGAGGCAGATGGTGAAATGCTTCAGACCTCAGGCTGTAGAGGACATGTCCGTCAGGAAAGACACGCAGCATGATGTTATCGGTGGTGGTGTCATGGATGAAGGACCTCTTTGAGTGGACAAAGAAGACATCGGGGACCCAGATCTTCTTCACCAGGCGCCCATCGAACGTCATGCTTTTATTGGTGCTGCTGGTAAACGACAGGCGCTCGTCCTTCCAGTAGTGCCTCAAGTACAGAGTCATGGTGAAGTCCTGGTGGAGTCCAAGGAGAGAAGGAAGATGGTCATCAGTCTACACCCTCAACAACAGTATGATTGCAATATTTTGAGTCTGTAGGCATCTGGTCAAGAGGCATTTCCATTTTCACTGAAATCAGCTTGGTAGGATTTAGTCAATAAAGCCATGTATGTTGATGATTCAAATATATACTGTATGTTAAGTGGGAGATCACTTTGAGTAAATAAGTTAAATCACTGGAGGACTCTTGTCTTGATTAATACACATTTCCTATACTTGTATTTCACTTGTCACCTTATGAAAGCTGAGTCTTTAAAGTTACATTATGTAACTTTTGCTCCACTAATTTGACCACAAAGGTCAGTTGGGCAAGACAAAAAAGGGGATCATTGTCAATTTGCCTGGTGGAGGTCGCTGAGGTATTTCAGTTCATTTCCCAGATACTGTGTGCGTGAGTTGCTTCAATCTTCTCCTCAGAGATCAACAAGTATTATATTAAACCGTATATATGTATATACATATATCTTGATTTGCCGTGTAAAGCATCAAATAGCCCATCAGTTGGGAAAGACTGGCAACTGTAATTAGAAATCCTCCCTCTCCTGTCTCTCCTTACGCGTCTACTAACAGGTTCCCAAGAGAAGAACTGAATCCAACTCTTCGAAGCCTCACAGGCCTGTACATCTAGGTTCAAATACTATAGTGAACCATTTCCATTAGTTACATGAAATTGAAGTCACTAGTCTGCCTGATTATAAGCGTGACGTCCACACAGCACACTCACTAGAACATGAGTTTCAGTCCTCCAAGACCAATGTGTTCAGGATTAGCACTTAAGAGGTCATCATTTGGCAGCATTTAAAGCCAAACACACAGTCACTGTGCTTAGGTAAAACATGCAAATGTGTGTGGGTACACACTCACCGGCCACTTTATTAGGTACACCTTGTTAGTGAGGTTGGAGCCCATTTTGAATTCAGAACTGCCTAAATTCTTGTCGGCATACTTTCAACAAGGTGTTTTAAACATTCCTCACAGACTTTGGTCCATATTGACATGATATTTGCTGCAGATTTGTAGTTTGTACATCTATGATGAATCTCCTGTTCCGCCACATTCAAAAGGTGCTCCATTAAATTACATTGTGTAATTTATTTGACACTTCTTTCATTGCATTTTTAACTCATCCAACACAGTGGGATCAGTGTGTTGCCATACGGCCAAGGAGGAGGAGGAGGAGGAGGTTAGGTGTCTTGCTCAGGGACACTTCGACATGGGACATGGAGCAGCCAGGTTTTGAACCAACCCGACGGTTCCCGGTGCTCCCTCTCTACTCCATGTGCCACAGTCGCCACAGATTGAGACGTGGTGACTGTGGAGGCCTTTGGAGTACAGAGAACTCATTGTAATGTTCAAGAAACCAGTTTGAGATGATATGGGCTTTGTGACATGGTGCATCATCCTGCTGGAGGCAGCCATCACAAGATGGTGCACTGTGGTCATAAAGTTATGGACATGGTCAGCAACGATACTCTATAGGTAGGCTGCAGCATTTGAACCATGCTCAATTGTTACTAAAGCGTGGCCCAAAGTGTGCCAAGAAAATGCTGACAGCACTGGTGTGGTCTTCAGCTGCTGTAGCCCATCTTCATCAAGGTTCCACGTGTTCCGCATTCATTGGTTGTAACCAGCGCTTATTTAAGTTAATGTTGCCTTTCTATCATCTGGAACCAGTCTGTCCCCTCTGACCTCTCACATCAACAAGGCATTTTCGTCCACACAACTGCCGCATACTGGATATTTTCTCTGTGAATCCTAGAGATGGTTGTGGGTGTAAATCCCAGTGGATCAGCAGTTTGTGATGTACTCAGAGCATCCCGTCTGGTACCAACAACCATCCCTCGTTCAAAGTCACTTAAATCCCCTTTTTTCCCCCTTCTGGTGGTCGGTTTGAACTTCAGCATGTTGATGCATTGAGTCATCACATTGATCCCTAAGTCCAATGGATGGATAGTCTCCTTTCATTACTGTGCTTTGTTAATGCTCAATTGATTTCTCATCTTCTGTCTCATCTCTGTTTTGCTTTCTGTTGTAACAATTTCAATATTTATTTATTTTCATACATGTTTGGCATATTTACTTATAGCCGCCCTGTTATTACAATACCACAAATAAACTTTCTCTACTTTCAGAATAATCTGTCACGTGATAAGAAGGTGTGGATGAATGCAGGTTTTCTTACCATATCAACCTCTGAGATGCTGTCCAAGCTTTCCACCTGAACATCCACTCCAACCGGGATGGCAGGCCCTGCCAAACCAAAATATAACGTGAGCAAAAAGTGAAAGTAACCCACAGGTGGTGCTGCCCAGCAGCTTTATAACACAATTATAACACAACTATACTGAGTTGTTCATGCTGGCTGACTTCCTCTGCCGAGGAAGCCGAGTTTCAAACATTCAGGTTCCGTCTGCCTGAACTGACGGGATGGAACCCTATTCTGAAATACTAATAATAAAAACTAACAATGTTACTTAAAGGTAAGCACATGGCATAGGATGGAGGCCCCTTTCACCACACCTAAATAACTTTTTACACACAGATTTGCAATGAAATTAGACAAAGAGACATAACAACATATTAAATCACAACTAGTCTTAAATATGTAATTTTGTTGGATTAGTAACTTCTTTTCCCGTATTGAAATCTTATCTCACCAGGCTCACAACTAATTGAATTCTGAAGTAAGATGTGAACCATCACTGTGCAAATAATTGTTCTTAATGGAAAACTGTTCAAACAGTGTTTTCCTTAAATCCAACAGCTCTAAGCTTAATGTGTTACAATGCAGTATTTTCATTATTGGTTGAGACAGCCGTCTATTCATTTGTTACCATTTCAAATCACTTTATACGACCTCTGACCTCTACAGAAGTAAAACAACATTATGTGTGACCATCTCTCAAATCACCAGGCAGCATGTTCACACTTCATACATGCACAAAAGGGAAGGGGACATTAGCAGGTGATTTGAAGCCGTTTGCATCACTTATCTATACAGTCTGTAATCCCAAAAGATTACCAGAGATGCTAAATGCCGGATTAAAGTCATCTGAGCTCTCCAGATGAGTGGGCGGATCGCTGTGCTCGGGATTATTCTTCACTTAATGGGACAACGAAATCAAGTCTTGTGACATCAGGCATAAAGGTCTTCTGGTGGTCCGGTTAACCGATGTTCATCTCAATATTAAGTAAATCATTAATAGAGCTAAGAGAGGGTCTGGAGTTTGGTGTGGTTGGTATTTCTCAAAGAGCTTTTCCTCAGTCTGTGTTTGTATCCTTCTAACCTATTCCGGGGTTGTGGAAGAAAGGCTCCAAGGACCGCTTGTCGAATCTCACATCCAGGTGGAGCAATACAGAGTCCATTATAGCTGTGGGCAGTGGATCCGGTCAGAAAGCTGCTGGGGTGAATGCGGGTTAACCGATCCAGTCTACATGTGTTTTGTGGACATGAAACAGGCTTGCAGAGCGGTGTTTTCTCAGCACCACGTCATTCACATTATTAGTGGGTGATGGCATCTGCCAGTGTATTCTGTTTCTGATGAACATGGGGAGGAGCCCAAGGAGCAGTCAGGAGCAGAGAGAGTGTCCTGCTCGGGGACAGAAATGCATTTCTGCTCTTTGAGGATTATGTTGGCTTCATCAGAGCATGACCTTCAACACCCACTGGTTCGGTTTGCAGTTGAGTGGGAAACCTTTGGGATGTAAGTGTTATGTGAATATTATTAAGCAGTTAATGTAGAAGTTACTGAATGTTCTCAACATATTTGTTACATTATAGACTTTGCACATCTTCTCTAAAGCACAAATTACCCACATCAATCCCGTTAACAATGTTCAGAAACATTTGAAGTGTTTCAAATAAACAGGTGAATTGTTTTTAATTACATTAACATTCAGTGAGTAAAGAGACTCTTGATCATCCAACATCCCACATAATCTTTAGTCCGTGGACATGCATCTCAAAATATACACTACAGCTGCTTTCAATATTGATTTCATTAAAACCGCTGGCTACCATTGAATTTGTGACCTTTGTGGTTCATTTCCCTGCTGTTTAAGAATAACACATGGGTATAAATGGTGCACTAGGTGGTTCATTTGTGTTACATTCATATTGTATGGTCAAAATCAAGACGCATAAAGCTCATACTGTGCTAGATGAGGGCCTGGAGACAAGGACAGAGAATCAGCTAAGCAATACAAATGAACAACTAGACTGCCCCCATGGCAGAGTTGGTCTAGATGTTGTGCAAACATCTCTGCCACAACAGAAATATACTCTGCAAAAAAATAAAAGGAGGCAATGCAAACTAGATTTAGCATTTATATTTAAAACCAGCATTATCACAACTACTGACTGAAATGGGTTGTTGGCTGTAGCTGGGATAGAGTTACCCGACGGGTTCTTGGACAGAGACACTGACACACGGTACTTCTGCTTGCCAGTTTGTTTGTTATTTCGCGAGCACAGGTCTTTCTACTCTCCAGATCGCCACCTCCTCCTCCTCCTCCTCCTCCTCCTGAGTGTCTGGACGATTCCTGCTCACTGCTTATCAAGGGGAGACCACCAGTCCGGATTGTGATCAGCTGTGCTCATTAACTACTTACTGCCACTGTTCCCTGGACCACCCCCCCACTCTCTCCCCTCTGCAGCTGAGCTAACCACACCCGCCACCACATCGACCATTTGGCAGAAGTTAAGTTTTGTATTGTAAAAAAAAAAAAAGCCTAAGACAATTTCCCCACAGGAGCAGAGAGAGGCAACACTACTAGCCAAAAATCAGCTGGAATCTAGTTTGATTGGTAATTGGTTATGTTATATTAGATAAAACTGAGGTATTAAGATAGTGGGCTTTTACTTTACTGTATTTAGGGAGTCATTCTGTTTACCCTGCAACGTCGTGATATTATTACGGTTATGTATTAAGACATCACCAACACATTTTTATAAGGTTTTATAAGAGGTTTCCAATTACTGAGCCTGCATAATGAGGAAGGTATTAACTAAACCCTCTATGCTCGCATTACAAACCGATAAAGCTTCAGAAAATGAGAACTTCAAAAAAACACTTTTGCTGTGATTGCCAAACCAAGCAGTTTTCCTCTGGTTGGACGGATCTGAAATAATAAAAAATGAGGACAAAGTATTCAGTGGATTGTATAAAATAGCAGAATTATTTTGAAAGGCTTTGAACATCATAAAAAATGTTGTTCACTTTGATTTTGGAGGCCGAGTCAATGAAAGATATCTCAAAAATCCTAAACAAATGAATCAGTAAATATCTGCAAGAAGACATACCGCAGGAGAAAATGAAATTAGAAAATTTCTATCGACATAATTTGTGTGAGCCAACGTTTTTGTACTACAAGTACTTTCATTCTTGCTAACAACTACATTTGCAATGTACCTTTTTTTATACTGCAATTGCTGCATTGAAATATTCTGGTGGGATAAATACAGTTCTGTCTTGTCTTGTTTTGCCGGATCTTATGAATCTCTCTGAGCATTCCTCAGAGTACTGTGATGGGATGTGGAACAAGTCAAACTGTCCTCCAACATGTTTCCGATAACCATGACAGCAGAGACAGAACTAGCCAGTGAGACTTTGTTGCAGCACAGACACCTCACCAAACCAAACACCGGCTCACACAGTAGTTCTTTGGCACACTTGGATGCAACTATATCTGACACTCTGCCCCTTTTAATGATTAATAATAATTGTTTTGTTGACACGTTTGACACGTAAGAGTGTTTTAGTTTGAGGAATAAATTAAGCATTTTTGTGCTTTAATCGTTCACTATGGAGATTATGGGGACTTCTTTACACAGTTACTAACTTAAATTGTGTAAAGAAGCCATATGCTGTAGCAGAGGACAGTGATAACTGGAGACCAATTACAAATAGAGAGTGACCAGCATAGCGTAGTGTAAAACTCAACAAATACTGGTTCCTTCAGGTGGGTACGTAAAAGGAGGAACATAGAGGTTAATAGTTTGATTCGTAGGGCCACTGACAAAGTGTCAGACAAGGCAAGGCAATTTCATTTGTGTAGCACATTCCAACAAGGCAATTCAAAGTGCTTCAAATAAAACCATTGAAAACAACCAAACATAAAGCAAGGGGATTTATAAACAGTTAAGAACATTGATACATTGAAACATGAAATAAAAAGTCATTAAAAGGATGAAAAAAGATGTCAAAAAATGTGAAAATGTGAAAAATGTAAAAGATTGCAGTGTAATTGTCTTTAAGAAATCCGACTTGCAAAAAAGGCAGCAGCAAACAGAAAAGTCTTTAATCTGGATTTAAAGGAGCTGAGGGACTCTGCAGACCTGCAGCTTTCTGGGACTTTGTTCTAGATATGTGAAGTAGAAAAACTGAACACTGCTTCTCCATGTTTAGCTCTGACTCTGGGAACAGAAAGTAGACCCATCCCAGACGACCTGAGGGTTCGTGGCGGTTCATAAGATATCAGCAAATCAGATATGTACTTTGGCCCTAAACCATTCATTGCTTTATAAACGAGCAGCAGGATTTTGAAGTGTGAAGACCTGAGAACTGGAGTGATGTGATCCACTTTCCTGGTCCTAGTGAAGACTCGAGCTGCTACAGAAACTTTTTCCAAATCTCGTTGAGACATAAGTCCTCTAGTCCTTGATATATTCTTTAGGTGATGGTAGGCTGATTTTGTAACTGTCTTGATATGACTGTTCAGGTTGAGGTCCGATTCCATAATTACACTCAGATTTCTAGCTTGGTTTGTGGTTTTTAACGTCAGTGATTGAAGCTCAGCGCTGACTTTCAATCGTTTACCCTTGTTACCAAAAACAATTACTTCAAGTTTTGACACATCCGGTTGTTGATTTCTTCAATGCATTCACCCAACCCCTGTATTGGATTGTAGTCCCCTGGTGATATTGTTATATATATTTGGCTGTCATTTGCATAGACTTTGTTGTTTTCCAGAATCTGACCCAATGGACGCATGTAGATGTTGAACAGAAGGGGCCCCAGTATTGAACCTTGGGGAACACCAAATGTCATTTTCTTAAAAAGCCTAATGTGTAATTAGCTACAGACACAAAGTATTTTTGGTCTTTAAAGTAAGATTCAAACCAGTTAAGTGCCGTGCCAGAGAGTCCCATCCAGTTGATTAGTCTATCCAGTAGTACTGTATGTCATGGTCGACTGTGTCAAATGCTGCGCTGAGATCCAGTAATACTAAAACTGAAATTCTGCCATTGT